GAAAGAAGGGACAGGCGGGGGAGAACGAGAGAGAAGCAACGGTGATGGATCGTCCAATCAGTGCCGCGAGATGGAGTACGAGAGAAACGGAGCGAGTGAGGAGGCGAGACCGGGAGAGAATCTTCTCCACCTATGGCATGGTACGCGGTGGACGATGAAAAAAGAAGAGAGAGAGAGAGAGAGAGAAAAGAGCGAGAGAGAGAGGAAGAGGTCATGGTCGGGTCGGTCTCCTGCTAATCGAAGAACACGAGGTGGCCCTGTGGCGGCTCCGCACGAGAGAAACTCTACCTCGGCTATTCTCCTCCGCCATCACCTATTGCCGGACCGGCTATTGTGTAACTTGCTCTCGACCAGCAACGAATTCTCTTCCGCGAGGCCGATAGTTATGATTGAGCTTCCCTGACATTGTACGATGAGATCCTAATTAGCGCATACATTGGAATCGCTGACGAATTTTTCGAGTACTCGTTTCTACCTCTGCACACACACATTTATAATATTATTTTATCATTGTGTCTTGCAATGTTGACTGAGATATATTCTCTTACGAATTTCTGATAAATAATGAAAAAGTATAATAAATATTAAAACAAGCTTCTTCCATTATTTACTCTCACAGAAATTACTTTCGTAATATTATATTAATATTCAATATGATTGTAATATGCAACAAATAATTAATCGTTATCAATATACATTAATACACAATTAAGCGAATTAGGCAATTTTAGATAAAATTGGGTCATTTATCCGAATTGTATCGATCATGTGGCAAAGCTACGCTCGCTTGCTCCTGGAGGAATCGCGGTGTACCGAGAAATGAGACAAACGGAACTGCGGTCGAAAGGGTTGAGCCCGAGGGTCGCGAACCGCGAGGTTGAACATCGCTCAAACTACCGCGTACAATACCGACAAGGAAGTTGCCAGGGATCTGCGTTACGGAGGAGCTTCGTCGACGAATGTTTGCACGCGGAACGCCACGAGAGGGTCTCCGCAATGGCGTAACGGCGTCCTAACGACGTAATCGAACGGGTATTGGATAATCGCAAATTTTTTTCTATATTCCCGTTCTCTCACATTGCGTAACGATTCAAGAGAAAATCACGTTATTCTTAATTACAGTGATCATATATTTCTTATTGTACTTGCCTTTTCTTATATGTCGTTTCTTGGAATTAGTAACGTCACTTTATGGAAATATTAGGTGAATAAACATACAATGCAGCATATCGCGATTTTTATCCTCTTTCCATCGACGAAAGTTGAATAATGCATACATCATGATTCGTAAAAAAATTTCTGTTGCGCAAATATAAGATACACAATTTATTAACTTCAAGAATCCAAGATTATTATCGCGATGCAAATCGAGTTTTTTTATTTTCTTTTAATTCCGTCACATGATGTAAAAAATTTTTACTATTTTTAATATTCTTTATTTACAATTTTTTTTCTCTTTATATGTTTTTAATTGATAGCTTTTACTAATTTCTATATCAATAAATCAAGATGATGACAATGCCGGACGCAGAAAGCATCTTATTAGCGAAAAGATAAAGTGCGGCAATGAATGGCTCAAATAATACATTTAACTACGTTGATTCTTTCGTCGCCCGTGGATATCGGAGAAATGCACTGCGGGAGATTGAAAAATGATTTTCTAGCAACAACGTAGCACGAGCTACGCCACTGTGCGTAGAGTGGCGAAAGAGAGGAAGAGAGTAGAGAGAGGGCGGCTAACAATGGCCGCCAACCAAAACATCCGATAAATCTAACCGGCCCGGACCTCAAGCCCCGAGGGGTTTTAAACTCTCTCACCCCAAACGCCGACGCGGGCGCAACCCTTACATTACGTTACACTCACGGAAAAGGGAACCATGCCGTGTGCTATTGCAGGGCGATACGGGGGCAAAGGGGTGCGCACAGTACGGTGGTTCCGCGCGATGGGGACGGGGAGAGGAGAGGAACGTGATGTGCGACCCACGAAAAACCAAACCAAGAGAATTCCATCCGATCTCCTCCTCTTTCACCTCCGTTCCTCCAGCATCCACCGCCGCCTCGTCTCGGCTAACCTCCTTCTACCAGTAAACGTAACGAGATCTGCCGCGCGCGAGCGGTTGTGTACCGGCTCTGACGAAATTTCAACGAATTTGTTTTGCTACCGCATCCTAATTCGTTTTGTCCAACCCTATTCGCAGCCGCGGCCGAAATTCCGACCCAACAAACGCACACCTCTCGAAATTACGATAGAAATGGTATGTTGTTGAAAGGGATTTCGAATAACTGTTAAAAATATAAATACATAAAAAAACTATTTCAATTTTTTATTAGCGTTAATGTAATTATATGTATATTGCGTTAATCGACTTTTTCCTCAGATAGCGAAAAGACAGGTTGTTAAGATGAAAACGAGGTTGCAAAGACGCATATGCGAGTTGCACGTCGGACGTAACTTTCGAGTTACTATTTTGCGATGTGAATTTATCACGATCGGAGAAAAATCGCAACGTCGGTTGGGACGTGCCATTTTGAACGCGTTCTTACGAAACTCGAAATAACACCAACAACTCAAGAGATGCTTCTCCGTCGCCGCGCTCTTCGTAATAGACGGCGAGACGGAAATATGCAGTGAGGGAAAACGCGAAGGAACGCTAATGTCGTCGTCGACGCAGGAACTCAACTCTCGCTGCGTCGCCGCACGACGTATCGAGAGTTAAACGATGCCTGGAATCCCGGGATTCCTCAACAGTCGTACATAATCAAGCGCGTCTACGATATTCCGCACCCGAGCTGAGTGGCGAACCGCGTTTCCGCGTCGAAGAATGTCGATAGCTCTTAACTGCGCGCGGGGCCGCGCTTTAAATGTATGCAGGCTTGACGTACTGCTTGCTTAAACAGCGCTGAGATAATTTATAGTTAGGAATATAAAGAAAGCGTGATGGAAAAAAAAAATAAAAGACAGGTTGTCTCTCCGAAACATTATACGATGTTTATGTCTCTCGCGAATGAAATAACAGAGAATTATTTTATAGGCAAGTATAGGGCGTATACGTTCATTAAGAATTTAATATTTTACATCTTCGTTGATCGTTAACGATATAAATTTGTGACCAAATTTCACGTTACGCACGTCGCTATCGAGTACTTTTCATTATTCGCACGCTGCATCGAGACCGACTCGAGGCTCCTGAACACGGAAAAAAGGATTCACGGGAGGCCGCGCGAAACGAAGGTGGAAAGGAAGAAAAAGAAAAACCCTTTCTCCGGTGCGGCGCGCGAGCCCAAGTCCGCCCCACCTTTCCTTTGCGAATCGGCTCGAGAGGAGCGGCGTCCGCGCGAACCGCTCGCTCGCTCCGTGGGCGGAAGGAAGAGGTTCAGATGAGGAGAACGAGGAGGACGAGAGGCCAGAAAGAGGGACAGACAGGTCGGCCTGAGAGAGGAACCCGCGGCTGCCATGGTTACCGTCGCATTCCCGCCTCGCCTCGTTGCCATGGAGACGGCGGCACCCTGTCCCTCTCGCTCTCCTCACCGCTCTTTTCGTTCTCTGGCTTTCTCTACCTTGCACGCTCGCAATGCCGACCAACTCGCTCGCACTCGCGAAATTCCGTCCTACTCACTCTCGTGTGCCAATCTTCTCTCCGACGACGCCGGGCGGCTTGCTCTCTCGCGCTCGCTCCTTCCTTCGCGGAGGGAATCGCTGCCCCACGGAGAGAGGGAAGTCGAAAGAGGAATACGCGAAGGAGACAGCCCGCGGACGTGTGCACATGCGCGATACTTGGTCCTCCACGACATCGAAACTCAATGCCTCTCCGGAACAGTTCGATCACTTATCAAACGCGAGTCACTCGCAACCTCGTAATGCACTCGCGCGCGATGCTTATCTATGGCGTTCGAGAGGATCTTGATGCCTCTCGGAGATGGTCGACACGATGTCGCTTACTGTGGCGAAAAAACGCACGGAAATCGGGCATGTACATCGATGACGGGGAAACTATTTTCGTAAACCTTTGTAGCATTCATTATACACATATTTCTTTTTTAAACACACTGAACAATTGTTTAATTTAGCAATTATTTAATTCAGCTTCTATACATATTCGATACCGATGGTTTAAAACTATTATATTCTTTTGTACTCTCCGCGTGTGATATCAACGTGCTTAATTTGAAAATGATAAACGGAATTTTCGGTAAACTTTTTGCAATTTTGCGCGGTACACCGCGCTATGCTCGCTAACCATCACCAAGCCGTATTATTCGCGCGCAAAATGAACGAGGTGTAAGCGCCCTGTTTCGTAAACCGCGGTTCTGATTGGTCGTCGCGTCACCCGATATCAATATTTATTCAACACGGCGAATGCCCGAGGCCGATTAAAACTTGTTTATGCCAACGATTCGCTCCTCCCACCGAACGCACATGAAGTGCACGCATAAAACGAGCACGTCTTTTCCCCTCGCCTTACGCACAGCACGCACGGTTAAAAATGGTCGATGATTAATTCGAGCAAGCCAAAATAAATTTATGCTCGGCAAATGTCATTACCCACAGCTTTACACTTTATGTAATTTTCAGAAAGTATTATAATTCAAGATATAGATAATTAAAAAGTTAAATATTAATTATTTCTCGAAATTGCAGACGTACGTAATCTTTATTTAAAAGGCAATTAGTTCAGTTAATTACCATTATTCGCATTATATATGTAATTTCAAATAAATAATTTATATATTTCAATTATTTATTTCAAATTATTTAATAATGCAAATTATTGAAGGAATATTATTTTAAAACTTATAATAAATACACTGCATCTAAAAAAATTTATTAGTAGAAGTCACCGTAGTAGAAGAGATTTCGCGAACAGAATAAAATAATTCAAATTAGTAGAATAAATTCTCATTACTGTGAAATTATCAAACCTGAATCAAAAGTGACATACGTATACAATGCTAGATGAAAAACGCACAAATTTTAAATTCATACGAAGAACTCGACTTACCGGGACTGCCGAGGAAGACGGAAGAGTAAAGGACGCCACGACGCGCGTCGCTCGCCGCGCGTTGCGCGTCAGGTGGCGAACTCCATTCTCTACGAGGACACCATTTTCCTGAAATAATTTTTTCTTCGTTAAAATTATTACAATTTCATTATTATAAATATAAATTTTATAATATAATTTTAAATGTTATTTGTCAGTCACGTCAGTACAATTTGCGTCTCGTTTTTTACAATTTTAATAAACATGTTCGTAAGACATGTCGCAGTAGAAATAAATGTAACGCATCGTGTACTTTTAGAAAAAGAAATGAAAAAGATTTAGAGAAGAACCGTATGCATAAATCTGCATTTTTAGATCAGTCAGCGCCGTTAAACGCTTGAAATGCATTAAGGCAAAGAAAATAGCACTAGTGAGTTAGCGATTTATGAAGAAAATTCCTCAATGGATTTGTTTCGAGATAAAATGTCGACGGTTACGACGTCACAATCAAAATATTATAAGAAAATACTGTAAGATAACACGAAATAGCCTGTTCTCGTGTAAAAATAGATGTTCTCGTATCGATCCTCGCACGAAAATGTTATTATGCCGCGGAGAAAAAGTATGCAGAAAGGGTCGATGTCGAGGAAACAAAAGATTCGTGATCGTCGGCGTCACGACTTCGACCAAAGAGATTTTTATCGCATTCTGTTCTATATATATACATATGCCGTTATAGTGCTTTATTCTTTTTCCAACCAGGTAACATGCGACGTTAACCCTATGCGATTTACTCCGCCTAAGAATAATCTAACAATTATGCTGATTATAATAATTACTTAAGAGTGCAGGAAACCACTTATGCTAAATTGCGCGGCATTCGCTCGACGATTACATTACCTAGCGTGATATTAATCAATGCCATCATGCGACGTGATCGGACATAAAATATCATTTATAAAAATTCATCCAGGATTAACGCGGAAAAATAATATAATTTCTTATTTATTTCTCTACGTAGCGACGTAAATTTAAAATTTCTCTTCCTCCATTTGATTTATCAAGCGGAGAGAGGAGAGCACCACTCGCGGCTGCAGTATTGCAATTTTCCAGATGCGAAAATAGGAAAGGTATCTACTTTATTTCCAGGGAGATCCCGGCTGAATGAGGATACACGGTAAGAAAGGGTGGCGCCGGGGGATAAGAGTAAGCCGCGGAGCGAAGTAATTTCACACGAGAGAGTAGGGTCTTGCTGGGTGAGAGGAGATCCCGCGGAGCTATAGTCTTATCTCGGAAATATAGCGGGCACATCCCCCTGCGAAAATTATATTCTTGGAAAGCAGAAAATTGCTTCGCTTCAGCCCGTTCTGTATGAGCGCGCAGTGCACCGATATTAGGTTCGCCTAACGTTTTTGCATGCGATCAACTATTGCATTATCACGGATACGAGCCGACACCGTTGATTTCAAATCATATTATGAGATCGAATCTTTTGTAGAATCACCGGCGATTAATCTTGAATATCATTTTGAAACGTTTTGAGCGGGTGTAACCGGCGCGCGCTCCAAACTAATGGATTTAAAAACGAATCCAACCATGCTGATTATAGTGTGCGGAGCGAGGCGCGTTTAACTCTCTCGATGTTACGGTTATGGTACGTCAGTTTCTGGTTAAACGAAATGACAGGGCTGCGCCGGTGATTCGAAAATAATGGTTATTCCGGCACCAGAGACAGGCGGGATCGCGTTAATGACAAGAGATTAGTGTCCCGACACCTGACCCGCGAGCAAATCTATCGAGACGAACAATCTTCCCCTCATCGATATGTCGTGTAAGTGAAAGGTACGAAGAAAAATGCTATGATAAAGTGCGCGCTTAAGGATTCACACGCAAATATTCAGCAATCTCACTTCCACGCGGAATAATCTCGTTATCGAAAATCCCGTCTTTCCACGCGCCGCGGATAAGTAAATAAATAATATATCAAGATTATTCAGAGTCATTTGCTCGCGTTGCCGACCCATTACGCACCGGCAGACCATACGTCACAGCCATTTCGAAGTCCTCGGAGGCACGGGTCCTTTGGATACCTGTAGAATCCTAGGACGGAGGTGGGGCGGATGGATGGAGATTTATAGCCGCTAGGAGACAGGGTGTAATCATACACATCGCCCCATCAACTCTGTAACTGTGATTTACCGTGGGAATTCTAAAAAGTTCTGAAATTTCTACCCGTATTTTTACCCGATTTCTCCGAATCGCGATACACGGCTATGACACGATTGTCATGTGTCAAGTTTGGATAAGTTAGATGATATATTTTCGTATAAATATACGAAATACACTAAGATCATTCTATCACGATAAATATGCGAAATAAGCTTTGTGAAAATTTCAGTGGAATAAGTTAATAGGCTTGAGGCAGCGCGAGTTAAAACGCCGCTTCTATATTAAAACTTTGATGACGTCAAAGTCGATGTTACGTCTGCAAAACAATCGTCGCATTTGGCAGCGCGGGCGCAAAACGTTTCTTCACAAGAAAGGAGATTCGTTAAGTGGCATCAAGTGAGACGTCTCCTTTGAATGATCACCGTAGCTAAATTGCGGGTTAACTTTGGTCTAACGGGTTCGCGTGTTCGCGACAGTCATGCCACAGGGCCGAGTCATGTATCGGGCAAAGCCCTGGAGGAGTGCGATCGGTGGGAGGTAGATGGACCGTGATACACGACGACCACGTCATCTTTGTCTGGGGCCGAATTCGTATAACTACGCGCGACTCCGAACGGCTCGCTACGGCTTTATTTTCGCGCCCAACAACAGCTGACGGTTATAAATTGAAATGTAACGCATCGGACACGCGATGGACGTCGTTTTTGCCCCTTCGCTGAAACCGAGCAAAATTTTTCGACAATTGTTTCGATAATAAACCGTATATTTTATTTTTCATCATCGTTGTGAGTTATTGCGATAATATCATATAAATTTCGCATTCGCTAAATACAAGCGTCGCTTTAAAAAAAAAAAATTCCAGCGAAAGTGCTGATAATCATAAGAGCCTGAATGTGTTGCGAAATGATTTCCCGCCGTCATCGATCCGCGTCTTCCGGGTCGAAATGGAGAGATTCGGAGAGGATCCTCGACGTCCGTATCCGGCTCTGCCGCTCGTGGAGACCGTAGCGGATGTTATAGATAGGATATAGGTACGTACCCAATAACCCCATCACGTCGGGGATGCTTCCTTGGTATAAATAAATCAATATAACTTGCTTCCACCCTTAGACGCCGCCCTCTTTCGCCGTAAGGAAGTGACGTATGAGGCTCGCATCCTCAAGACGAGGGTTGAGGAGGCCACCCTGTTATTTCACAGTTAGGCTCGTCCCTCTCGCGCCCCTCTAGTTTCCACAACCATCTTCCACGTCGTCTTCTACCATCCAGACCGACCTGTGTGTCCCTAGTGCCGCTTCCAAGCGCGCACGAGTCCCTCGGGAAGCTTTTGTCCTCGAGCTGTAAGCGACTTCCTGACAGGCCAAGTTTGCACCTGCTCTCCTTCTGGCTCGTCCGTGTCTCTCTCTCCTTCCATCCGCCCTCGACATCTCTTTCGCTCGTTGTTTCGCGTCTTGCTCTTCCTTTCTCTCTCACTCTCTCCCCTTCGCGAGCTCTGCCTAACCTTACGTTGCCTCACGCCACCGCCACCACCGCCGCCGCCACCACCACCGCGACTATCACCACCCACCGACGTTACCGGCGCGTAATTTATTCGGGATGGGTATCCTCTCTCTTCGGCCGAAGGTAATCCGTAGATCAGCGCGCCGGATAAACCGGGCGTGTCGTTATATACGTTCGTCGAAATTATTTTCGAATAATCCCCGCCGTCGACACCTCGAACTCACTTATCTTAATTAAAATTACCCTCACCTCGCGGCTCGGGGCAAATCGGATGTTTGTGCGATTTACGGTAATAATACTGGCGGTAGACCGACTCGTTTAAGTGACAGAGTTTATAGCCTCCTTTCTGCGAAAGATGCAAAAAGATTACTTATTATAAAGACGTTTATGCGCGTCAGGTCGTAAAACTCGAAACTTATTCTTTGAACACTAACATTGGTTAGTTAATTAATGGTCAAACGTTACTTAATGGTGAAATTTTGTTTCAAAATTTTCAGCGATATTTCTTTTATATTTAAAGACTTTGTAAATAAAGCAAATCAAAATTATATCGTGAGAAATATCTTTTCTTGTCGTTTAAATTTCAATTGCGAAATACGCAAGCAGTGTTTCAAGGTTGTCGGGCGGCATCGTGACGTCACTCCTATTTTCCATTTACGAGCAGATACACCGTCTTTCTCCGGTATAAGTAAAGGGTGACGGGTGGAGGTCCGCAGATGTCGGAGATGCCGGGTGATTAATGACGCCCGATAGATGTAATTTGTTGCGGCTCGCAAACCGCCGTCTCTCTCCGTGCGTCTTTCAAATTCAAATTATTGATAAACAGGATGCTGTTTGTAACAGTAATGCTGTCGGACAAATCGGACGACTTCACTACGAGCGAGCGGTATAGTAATTAATTTTAAACAGCATGTTACATGATTTTTGTTATCTCGGTTCGGGACAGTTACGATGCATTTCATCTTCTAATTGCATGAAAAATTCCTGTGCACATAGCGGAAAGAGAAACTGGTAACGTGTACGCGATAACGACTGAGGATTATATTGCCGTCATAAACTCATGCGCAGATATTGAACAAAATGACTATCGGGCTCAGCATTATCGTAACGCATGTAATTACTCCAGTTTTGTTGATAATAATATGAGTCTTCGTTTACTCGCGTGCGTTTAACCGGCACGATCGTAATAATGGAAAACGCGAAAAAAAATGCATCTTAATAATACAATTAAATTGAAACAATGTCGTCCCATCAATCGTGCGTTATTTAACTCGAGAGAGAAAGGAGATGATTCTTATTAACCGGAATATAAAATAAAGATAAGACAGTTCGCTTTAATGGTCGTCCTGCTAAGTGTGCGCGAGTCGGTTTCTCCGTCGCGATCGCGGACGACGACGTCGTTTCGCGGCGAACGGATGCGCGATTACCATTAAACGCATAATGGCAAGAAACGGCGTAATGGA